AACAGAGTTGAGTCAAACTGGGTTAATGTTAAAAGTGGGGTATCTCAGGGCTCAGTGTTGGGACTTTTGAATTACGTCAATGACAAAGATGGAGCAATATTCAATAAATTATTCAAATTTTCTGATGATATTAATATTTGGGATGTTGCTGGATGTCAGGAAGATGATACTGCCCTACAAGAGGATTTGGATTATTTAGTGATCTGGGCAAATGCCGTATTTTTCGGTGTATAAGATGCAAGCAGATTTTGACATCAAATTTTGGGGTAAAAAGTGTGTCTTATACACCGAAAAATACGGCATTTGCCCAGATCACTAAATAATCCAAATCCTCTTGTAGGGCAGTATCATCTTCCTGACATCCAGCAACATCCCAAACATTAATGTCATTAATTTGAATAATTTATTGAATATTGCTCCATCTTTGTCATTGACGTAATTCAAAAGTCCCAACACTGAGCCCTGAGATACCCCACTTTTAACATTAACCCAGTTTGACTCAACTCTGTTATATTAAAAGGTTGAAATTCTAAGTACTTGTGTAAATATAAATAAATAAAATACTCAAATGATCACTGTTTCTGGGCAGTCTCAGAATAAAGTGTTTTTAAGTTGTTTATGTAAAAAAAGTTGATTGTGTCAGCATTTTAATTATTTAAACTCCATTTATAACAACCTTCTGCTTTCTTCGTTCCAGTTTTCTATCCAATGAGCCAACCTATTCCTCACACATACAAAGATAATTTTTTTACCAAGCAGCAATCTCTTAAGAGAATATCAAAATATTATTGAGGCAAGATTTAGCCATAATGAAACTATGTTGACTATTAAATAACTTTACAAAGCATCCTTTATCTGACTTTCAAAAACTTTTCCCATTACTGATGTAAGACTAATAGGTCTATAATTACTATGACAGTTTTTGTCACCTCCCTTGAGAAAAGGGAGTAACATTAGCCGACTTCCAATATTCTGGCACCTGCCCACTATTCAAGGACTTAGAAAAAATAGCAGCAAGTGGCTCACTTATTAATCTTTTTCAAAACCCTTGGGGAAATATCTGGCTCATGAGCTTTATCATTCTTTAAACTTTCCAATTTTTTTTCTTAACGAGGTCAGAATTAATGTGGTCATCTTGTTCAGTCTTGTTTCCATCTATCTATCAACTGTTTAAGATTAGGAATATTTCTTAAATCTTCATTAGTAAATATTGAATAAAAAGTAGAATTTAATAACTCATCCATCTCATAATCATTAGATATGAGCCTTCCTGTATCATCTCTCAAAGACCCTACTCCAGTCTTAACATTCTGCTTACCCTTAATGTTCTACTTCTTAAATTTATAATAATTTAATTCTCTCCTCTATATCCTGTGTAAGTCAACTTTGTTATAGCTTGTGTTTTTATCTGTGTCAAAAATATGCTGGAAAGAATGAAAAAACAGGATTTCCAATGCTCAAAGCATTTATTTTAAGAGAGATTTTGTTGTTTAAAAGTTTTAAATTTGTTTCTGTGTTAAACTTGTAATAAATTTTTCTTTGTTACCTCTTAAGTCATCTCTAAACTTTATCAGTACTTTTCACATGAAAAGATAAATGGTGATTATAAAAATACTATTAAATGTTTAAAAATAAATTGAGTGCCATTAAAGCATCATTGTCAGATTGGGGAGTGTTGTTTCAATTCAGTGTTAGTAAAGGATGGTTGAGTGATTGGGGAGTGTTGTTTGAATTGAATGTCAGTAAAGGATGGTTGAGTGATTGGGGAGTGTTGTTTGAATTGAATGTCAGTAA